GGGTTTTGTTGTCGAAAATACAGACAGAGAAACCCCTCGTTTAAGTTCACCTGTCTCCCCGCGTCCAGCCCAGCACACGATGACATTCTCTAAGTGGCGTGATAGCCTCACCCTCCTGTCTGAGGTAGGGCTCCTGCCCAGGACCATCCCTGGCCCCAGGCTCCCCTCCCCTTTCCACTGCTTGTTCTCACTCTGATGCCCTGGGGTCAGAGGGCACCAGGCAGTCACGGTTTGCTAACTGAAGTGTGACTTTGGTGAAAGAATTGAGGCATAGAGTAGTGGTGAGGGCCTGGGCTGCCAACTGCAAGGTCGGCAGTTCGAATCCACCAGCCGCTCCTCAGGAGAAAGACAAGGTTTTCTGAGTGGCAGCCTTGGAAACTCATAGGGCTAATCAAACCCTGTCCTGTAAGGTCTCTGTGAGTCAGAGTCAGCTCATGGTCATATTTGGGGTGTGTCTGGGAAGAGATCACCTCAGGCAGTAGTTTCAAAGGGCCACGCGAGGCTGTGGCCTTTCAGAAGCAGGGGGTCTGGCTTGTCTTCCCTGATACCTCTCAGTGGGCTCAAAAGGCCACCTGTCCAGTCACTAGTCCACTAGCAATTTGGGTAACTCGGGACTCCCAAGCCTGGGGCCCCCTCAAAGACCTGAGGGTTCTATCTTGACCCCTTGTGGAGAAATCTGCCCCAGCTTCACCCCCTACCCAATGCCCCCTCCTCAGGATGGTCAGCCCCACCCCCACCCAGTACCCCCTCCTCTACAGGACCACACTAGCTCCCCAGCCTGGACAGCCCTGAGAGGCTGTCCCCGGGACACCCACCCAGAAGGTTCCTCGACTTCCTCATGGGCCACCAACAGGCTCAGCATACCCACCTCCTGAAGATGGGGCCCCTCCCAGCCCTGCTCCACTGGGAGCTTCTTGCCTGCCTCCTCCTCCGGGAAGTCCTCCCTGACCTCCCCTCTCCCCATGCAGGGTTTGCCCATGTGGGCTGGTCAGTAAGCAGAAGCCAGAGCCAGCTGTGCCTGCAGGCCACACCGGGCGTCCAGGGGCCATAAGGAGTCACGTGAAGCCTCAGGCCTGGCAGGATGCCCTGTGCAGGCCCCTCCCCCTGCCCCTCCCCTATGCTACAGCCTCCCCAGCTCAGTGCATCCCAGGGAGGCCAAGGGGCGGGGCCTAGGGTAGGGGCGGGGCCTTGTGCCTGATCAGTACCAGCGCGGAATTCCAAGCTGTGTGCAGCACCAGGGAGGGAGAAGCTCAGAGTCAAAGAGCCCAGCTCTAGAGCAGAGAAAACAGACGCGGCCGGAACCTGCTAGGGCCGCCCTCTCTCAGCCAGTGGTCAGTCGCGAGGACCAGCACCCCACCCACAGGCTCTCGGTTTGCCCCTCCCACGCCCCCCAGCACTGCCTTCAAGTGGAGGCCAGAGTTGGCTCCCAGGGCGCCAGGAACCCCTGGGTGGGGGTGAGGCTCTCATGGCTGGAGGTGCAGGTAGGGGACCCCGGGCCAGAGGCTGCCCGTTTGCCTCACGAACGCACGCATCCTGGGCACCCGGCCAGCTAGGAGGAGATGGGCAGGAGCTGCTGAGAAAGAGCCCCCAGGTGTGCCCACAAGGACCAAGAGAAGGCTGGCCCCTCAGAGCAGTCAGTGCTGCCTCTAGGGGTGGGCGGGGGGCTCTGCAGCTGCTGGGCATGTGTCAGGGCCCTGAGGCCCCAGGGAGTCTGCTGTCCTGCAGCTGCAGATAAGAAGCAGGTGGGGCCTGGCGGTGCAGGGCTGGGGGTCAGCCGAGGTTGGGGAGCCCCAGGGGTGGGGGTCAGCAAAGGGAGGTGGTTCTCCCAGCGAGGCTGAGGAGGACTGGAATCCCGGAGCCAGACAGCTCAAGGGGATAGTGCATCTCCAAGGTTGCAGACAGGCCTCTGAGTCACCCCCAGGGAGGTGGTTAGAGGTGGGTGGGGCCCTGACCTGTGGGGCGAAGGGCCCCTGAGGCCCAGCCACCTGGCAGCAGGAAGAGCAAGGGCTGAGGGGGATGGGGGAAGCGTGGCCTGAGGACCCATTTGAACGGTGCTGCTGGGGAAGAACATCGAAAGTACCAGGGACTGCCAAAAGGACAAACGGATCTGTCTTGGAAAGTACAGCCAGAGCGCTCCTTCGAGCCAGGATGGGAAGATGTCATCTCACGTACTGTGGACACGTTGTCAGGAGAGAGCAGTCCCCAGAGAAGGACGCCGTGCTTGGTCAAGCAGAGGGTCAGGTCAAAGAGGAAGGCCCTGGATGTGGTGGGCAGACACTGTGACAGCATCGATGGGCTCGGGCATAAGACCAACTGAGGACGATGGGTCCAACCGGCTGCCCTAGGTGGGCTCTGCAGTGTCCTGGACACAAGACCCCAGCAGGACAGGGGCTGGGCGGAAACCAGACCCCGTGTGCTCTGCTCGGTAGCAATGACGAGAAACCTGGGAGTGTACCCCAGGCGCTGGTCAGTGGCTCCGAGGAGACCTACAGACTGGTAAGGGGGTCCCAGAGGCCTCTGTGCCCTCTGGCCTAGCTCCAGCTGTCCCCTCTTGGTCATCCTGGGCCTTGAGTTCTGGCCCCAGCTGGGGACTCAGGGCATACCCCTGAGCTCTGTCCCCCACCTCTGCAGGGGCCACCTGCATCCTGGAGGCAGACAGGACCTAGCCGACAGAGACAGCACTGCAGCTCAACCATGGGCGTGCGTGGCTGCCGTGACTCACAGTGACCCTCTGGGCAAGCGGAGGAAACCACTGCCCATTGCGAGGACCTTCCTCATCCACCCACCCTCCGTCCACCCTCCATCCTCCCTCTCAGGCTAGTGTACCATCCTCTCTGTGTGACACAGTCCTGTGAGACTCACACCAGCCCAGACAGGGTTCCCTGGACTGGACATCTCTCCAGGAGTGAAGAGCCCCAGCCTTCTCCTGTGGACCAGCCAGCGCCCAGCACCTCACCCACAGCATCACCGGGGCTCCTGGATGTGACCACACATGCTCACAGTGCTCCGCTGGCTAGCCTTGGGGCCAGCACGAGCTGTGTCTTGGCTAATTTCGATCCTCTCTCTGGTCAGTGGTAAGGAGTCTCAGCTGTTGGCCCCCTGAGTCTGGGGGGCTGGGGGACCGTGGGGCTGTGAGACATCTGGAGGCTGGCCCAGAGTCTGCTCTGAGCCCAGCAGGAGTCTGCCTCACCCACCCGGCTCACCAAAACTGCCACACAGCGGCCACCACGTGGGGGTCAGGCTGCACCCGACTCTGCCGAGAGCTTTGGCCGTCTACAAACAGGCCCCCCGAGTGTGTCCCGGGCCCCCGGCAGGGAGTCCAGATGGGAACAGTTGGTGTGTGTGCCTGAGCCCCAGCACCAAGCCTTGAAGGGACCGGGCTGCCCATGTGTGTGTGCCCTGGGCACTGGGGACCAGAGGCCCATCTCCAATATACTGGGGGGCACCACCCCTTGACTCTATCCAGCCAGGAGTCACACCCACATGGCCAAGAGCACCCAGGCCCTAGGCTTCTGTGCTCCCAACTCCAGGACTTGCTGTCTGGGAGAAAGTGACCTCATTACGAAAATGAGGTTCCTTGGTCATCAGTGATCACGATTAGACCAGAGTAAGGTGGGTCCTGGTCCTCATCCCTTCTCAATGGCAGGTGGGGAAACTGAGTCACGCAGAGAGACAACCTGTGAGGGGCCCCTAGGGCCCCCAGCAGCTGGGAGAGAGGCAGGGGCAGTGTCCCTGGGTTGGCACCCACTCTCGATGTCCAGCCTCTGTGGAGATGGGAGTCTGCCGCCCTTTAAAAGCAGGCGCTCTAGTGGCCTCCTCTACTGGCTGCTTCCGCAGTCCAGGGCAGGCTGGGAACTCCCTGGGGTTGGAAGGCTTGGGTTTCCTCCTCTCTGCGGCCCATTCACAGAACCTTCGACCTGCTCAGTATGTCTCTTGACAGGGGCCGGCCACGGATCCCACGGTGAGCAAGGGGCACTCTGAGTTCAGACACTGGCAACTGGCAAACCCGAAGTGAACCCCTGTCCCTGTGACCTGCCCAGGACCGGGGTCCCCCAGCCGCCACGCAGCTACGGCCACTCAGCACCTATCTCTGAGGCTTGTCCAGCCCTGGTGCCCTGACCCCTCAGGGTCCCTGCCCTCTCAACACTGCCCACCAGGCCGGGGCCCCACTCGGAAAGCATGGCCTGGTCCCGGAGCTCCCTCCCCGCCTCCTACGGGGACAGTGCCCGAGACCAGCGTCTCCCCACTGTTGCTGCAGCTGGTGGGCCTCGGCCCCTCTGGTCCCTGAGCCAAGAGGCTCCACAGGGTCCCACACCCTCTGGCAGAGCCGGCAGGTCCAAGCTCTGCCTGGAGGGCTTCAAGCCCTCCCCCAAACAAGCCCACGGCTCATGACAAGTCAACGCAAAGGGAAGCACTCTGTTCCTGACACTAGTCTGCAGGGGCTGGTGTTTGGGGGTGCGTCACCAGGACTTTCTTCCTCGGCACCCAGGGTGGGTTGGGGCCACCCATCTGTTGAATGTGTCTCCCAGGGCTCCCACGGAGAGGAGATCACTCAGCCTTTGTTCAACAGCAGTGGAGTTGGCTCTGAGCTGCCCACCTTGATGTGACTAGTCAACTGCAGACGTGTCACCGAGGGACACCTAGGGCTTCAAGGGGTTGTGAAGTCCCTCCCACGGAGCCCAGCCCAGCCCAAGCTTTCAACTAGAGGACCAGAGGCAGGGGCTGTGCTGGGCATCCCCTGAGGGCCAGAGCTCGCTGCTCCGGGTCCCTGCCCTCTCAACACTGCCCAATGGAGGGGGACATGAGGAGCTGGCCAGGCCAGCCCAGTTTGGATGTGGCTGGGGGCTGGGCGAACAGTCCTGGGGGCGCCATCATTAGTTCAGCCGGCTGGAAGGCCAGGGGCTGGTTGGGTGATTTGTGACAGCCCGCGACAGCCCTCCAGCTCCGCCTGGGCAGAGGGGCCCTCGTGGGGCGAGGCCTCGGTTTCCCCAGGAGCTTACCGGACGGGCAGGCACCCTTGTGCAGCACGCGCAGTCGGGTCCCGGCGAGCTGCTGATCCCGGCGGCTGGCCGCCTTGAGCGTGCACACGTTGGCGTAGGTGTTCCCGTCGGAGCCGCACACGGGGTGCGTCCAGCGGCAGTGGCAGACGCCGCGGGAGCAATCTAGGCTCTCCCCGCAGGGCGAGTCCGTGGGGCGGCCGCAGGGCTCGCCCAGGCCCGCGGCGCATACCAGGCAGCACTTGCAGTGGTCCGGGACATAGCCGCCCGGGCATCTGGGGCTCGGGCACTGCGACACGTCGCAGCGCGCGCACGACGTACTGGGGGACTCCTGGGCCACCGCCAGCGTGGCCAACGCGGCCAGGAGCAGCGCCTGCGCCCGCATGGCGCCTGGGGAGCGCTTGGCCTGAGGTGCCAGGGTCGAGGGCGGCCTCGGGGCCGGGCCGGGGGCGCACGGGGATGGACGCACTCCCTCCGGCGGACGGACGGTCTGCGGGCCGGCCGGGCGGGCTCTCTTAAAGGCAGGGCCTCCCACCCTCCCACCCTCGTGGAAGGGGCGGCCCGGCCCTCCAGCCCCGCCCCGGCTGCCGGCCTTCCGGGAAGCGGGGGCGAGGGCGCTCAGGGTCTCCAAAGCATAAGCAGCGGAGAGCGCCCACTCCCACCCAGCAGAAGCCCAAGGACCTGCGCCCTCCCCCGACGAAATCAACAAATCGGACACTTGGGGCCCTCCCCTGTCCCAGCCCTGCCTCCTCCAACCTCTTCTGGGGACAGACCTCCAGGAAGCTACCACCTTCCACCCCCCACCTCCAAGTCGCCTGCTGTGGCCCTCGGAGCTCTTCAGCCTTGTGCCCCGAATTCCCTGCTGCGTGCCTCAGTTTCCCCTCCTTGGGAAGAATTAGGTAGATGTCCTTCAGCGCTGGGAGCGAGGGGCGGGCGCGGTGTCCTGCTCTCCCACTGAGCACGTAGCCTGCCTCCGCCCAGGCTCTCTGCTGTGCTGGCCAGAGACGCCCTGGGCCTTGAATAAGGTGACCAGATTTTATCATTGGTAAAGCGTGACACCACTGATAAAACTCATATCCTGGCGAAATAGCCACATGGCAGCTGAAAACTGTATACCCTAGCTTGTCGTGCATTCTTTCCAAAAATCGGGACTTTTAAAAAACGCCGCGGGACGCGGGAAAATTTGTTAAAAATCAGGACTGTCCCTCCAAAAGCGGGACGTCTGGTCACTTAGCCTTGAACCGTGGACCGCGCAGGCTTTGTTAAGTTACTGGCTCCGAAAGAATTTTGTTTCTAAACCCCGAGAGCTCAGAATCTGGAGACACCAGTGTGGAGCTCTGTATCGGGGACCCACACCCCAGGGAAGCTGAACTTCCAGGCAGGTTGTGTGATGTGCAGAGGTGGTGTGAGTGTGTGCGTGTGCGTGTGCGTGTGCGTGTGTGTGTGTGTGTGTGTGTGTGTACAGTGAGGACCAAGGTCTGGGAGGGAACCCTCAGCCTCTGCTTCCACAGGCCCCCCAG